CTGTAGTTCTGGCACTGGTGGAAGGGTTTCCCTCACCTGCTAAGGTGGGGAATGAGGGGGATGAAGACACTGGAATTTTGGGGGTTTGGTGGAAGAGATTTTCTTGCATGCTTTTAATGGGAGAGAGCAACTGGAGTCTTGTTGTCTGGAAGGGAGGAGTTTCTTTAGCTTGAAAAAGGTAAGCTCTGGTATTTTGTGCTTTAAACCTCTTTGAAATTGGTTGTGGGCTAAGATAAATCACTAACTTTGTTGCTATTCCAACTTCATCTGAATACATCTCATTGTTCTCCGATGATTTGATATGGAATTGTCTCTTCCCATTAATGTCAGTCTCAACTTACAACATGAGACCAGGAACACAGCCCCGATGTAAACTGAGACTCGCCTGTACAAGTATTTTTAATGGATCTCCATATCTTCAAAATATGCCACCATACACATTTATCAGACTTTAAGCTGATAAATGGGTACACCCTTATGTAGACAACTGTTTATGACCATATCTAAGACAAATATGTCAAAATGAATGTAATGAAATGAATAATCACATCAAATGAACCAGAAGAATTCATCCTTAGGCTGTAACTATAATGTAGGTTATTTATTTTGAAAAGGCTGGGAAGCTTAGGGATGAAACTTGTCATCTTGTTTCACTTTTCTATATCACTTTTGCATGAAGTGTGCTTCATTCATACACAGCTACGCTTGGAAAGCTAGTCAGTGACATAGCTGAAGCAGAAATGACAAAACCAAGATTCACACAAACATAACCCACCAGGTTAGTGGGTTCTAAACAAAGCATGGACTCTCTAATATTTAGGACTACAATATCCAGAACCCTCCAGGCAGGATGGCCAGTGTCTATGCCACTTTTTCCTGTTCAGGTGTCTTCTAGATGTTCTGAACAAAATCCCCACCATCCCCAGTCAGCACAGCCATTTCTGAAGAGCACCAGATTGGAGACGCTTGCTCCGGGCAATGCCATCTCCTTTGTCTACCAAAAAAAAAAAATAAATAAAATATAAATTCTGCTTATTGACCAGGTTTCTGACTAGTTGAACAAGTGTGATTAAAAACTGGTTGAGCCAGCTCCTTCCTTCCCTTAGCATGGTTGGAACGAGAATGCTTTCTGCTGACAGATACAAACTGTACATTGTGAGTTAGGAAAAAAACAGTAGGGGGAATAACTTGCTCTGGGATCCTTTTGTTACAAATGCTTACAGATCAGTAGAATCGAATGACTGAGTTGTTTGTTATTCTCCCTTTTCTACTGATGATTCACATCTCACCAAGACAGGTTGATGAGACAATGAGGCTGCATGTAAACTGCGTTGCATTATCGTCCCCTCCTTTTCTCTCTCTTTCTTTATAAGGAAAGGCTATGGAAGCATTTCTTATTGGAAAGAAAACAGTCAGTTGGAAGACATGCACTATTCAGCCATTAGGATGTGTTCTGACTTTAGGCATCTTAATTTACTTATGTCCAACAGGGCCAATTATAATAAATGTCATATAGGGGGGTTGCAGACTGCCAGAAATAGTGCAAATTGAGTCCACTTTAAAGGTTAAGGTTAGGGTTAGGGAATCATGGGAACTGTATTTTATTGTGGCACCAGAGCTCTCTGACAGAGAAGGCTCAATGTCCCAGAAAAAAATACAATTCCCATGACTCCCTAGCACTGAGCAAGGGCAGTGCCTCAATTTAATGTGCACTATTTCTGGCAGTCTGCAAAGGCCCGTACTGAATGTAAATGTACAAACAAAAGTTAGCAATTGGGCACATTTTTACTAAAGAGGAAATTGTGGTGAATTGAGTTGTCTACTGATGAATGGTGTTGCATTAAGTGACCAGGAAGCTAATAAGGAAAGAAGAAACCTTTCTTCAACATCCAAACTGTTACTATTATTTAGACAACCATATCATGAAAGGGGGGAATGGAAAACAAGATAAGCCAGCTAGCCATAAATTACCTCTTACAATGGGAAAATGCCTCTTCAGCTTTAGCACTGTTTGTATCCATTAAGTAAAACACACGTGGACATTTTGATGCAAGTGAGGGTGGGAGGCAGCTGTATTTTGGATTTACAGCTCTGGGTGTGGAGGCTCCCAATCCTACTGCTTGAGATGATGCTTCAGGCAAACCAGGTGAGATATCAGCACAAAGCAACAGAGCAGTTTTTGTGTGTGTTGTTTTGCTGCTGCTGTTTTAAGACTGAGATCTCAGATGCCAACACAGGCAAATGAAATAGATGGTTGATTGTCCTGATACCTTAAATAAGATGATACTGGATTTTCAGCAGATATTTACATAAGATTATTTTAAAGCAGTGGAGAACTGAAAACAAAGACATCTGTTTCAGTCTCTTATTTCCACTCTTTTAGAAACTTAGATGAGCAACTGGTTACAGTTTTAGCATGATTTTCTTTTTTCACAAAGAATGCAAGGTTGTATCCATTAAAAAGAATGTTGCTCTTTTCTATGCAAAAAAATCAAATACAAGAGGTTTTTAAAAATAGTGATCGTCTCATCATTGATCACCTCCTTTGTGGCAGAAATGTTCTAGGCAGGTCACCAGATCCCTGATCATTCAGTCCAGACAGAAAGGAAATCTGGGAGCTCTGCTTTAATTCATCTCTCCACCAAAGCAATTTTGTACTCACTTATGGGGTCCCTTGTGTTATGAGGTATTAAATTAACCTCTGTGTTGTTGTATCCCTTCAAGTTATGTCTATTGACATCAGCCTTCTCATGAGTTTGTTCAGAAGGGGATTTGCCATTGCCTTCTTCTGGTCTGAGAGAGAGTGGCTTGTCTAAGGTCATTCAGTGGGTTTCCATGGCTGAGCAGAGATTCAAATCCTAGTCTCTCAGAGTCCCAGTCCAACACTTTAAAAATCCTATGATGATAAATGCCCCCTATCCTGGTATGTTGCCATATAAACCAGGGAGAGGGAGCATGTGGCCCTGCACCTGTTCTTGAAATGGAACCTCCATCACTCTTAAACATAGACAACAGTGAGGCACGATGGAAGTTGCATCCAGCAACATCTGGAGAAGCACATATTACCCTCCTGTGATTTAGTTTCCTTTCTTCTTAGTTGGTGGGGTGGGGTGAGTAACTGGAGGTGAGTAACTGTGGCCCTCCAATGTTTTTGGCCTAGAGCAGGGGTAGGCAACCTTTCCCCTTTAAGGGCCGAGGGACCTCAGCTCCCAGAATCCCAGGAGCTATTGGCCAACATGGGACAATTGGCCAACATGGCTGAGGCTTCTGGGAGCTGAAGTCCCTCGGCCCTTAAAGGGGAAAGGTTGCCTACCCCTGGCCTAGAGTTCCCAACAGCCAGCACAGCCATTGGTAAGGGATGATGGGAGTTGCAAAAAATAATCTGGAGGGCGCAAGTTGTCCATCCTTGCTGGACTGGAATATCAGTATGTCAGTTCAAAAATAATCACATAACTACACTGTAGGAATGCAACAATATGCTGCATAGCAGGGCTATCAATGAATGGTTCGGTATCTGATGGACCCTTGGTATCTGCTGGGATTTGATTCCAGGACTCCCCATAGTTAGCAAAATCTGTGGATGCTCAAGTCTCACTATATACAATGGCATAGTAAAATGGGGTCCCTTATATAAAAAGGCAAAATGAAAGGTTTTGTATGTGCAAGTATTTTCATACTGTGCTTGGCTGAATCTGTGGATGTAGAATCCATGGACATGGAAACCCAACTGTACCTTTTTGACAATAAAACATGGCAGAATTGCAGAGAAACAGTCAGAGACAATGACATTAATAATAAACTTTTTCCCCAAATGAAATTTTAAAAAACACACCCTCATATCCTAATTTTAGTAAAAGAAATCACACACCTGGGGTGGGGAAGAAGAGAAGAGAAGGCTGTGTGTACATGCAGCAACCAGTATTACCATGAGGATGGGTGATGTTTGCCCACAAAGCACAGAGGAAGGAAAATGAAGACTGACACACCTTTCTCTTCTCCCTGGCAAGCTGTTCCAGTTGGAAGTAGGAACAAGAACAAGGAGAGGCGGTGCTCCTAGGATGTGGTTCTTCACAAGGGTGTGGATGCAAATCCATCCCCTGTAAAAAAATCCACCACGCAGACATGCCCTAATAAAGGAGAACTTAATTACATTTCATTCTTGCTTGCTTCAAAAGTTTGGTCACCCCAATGTCAAAGGATGAATAGAATGGTTAGTTAAGTACACATAATATGTATCACAAACATTCCTAAACTTTCATTCTTTTTTCTCAAATTACAGGTTGTGACTCAGAACTTGAAAGCCAAAGTTGTTTGTGCTGTGTCAAGTACTCTGCCAAATGAAAAGCTAGAGTAAGGGCCATTGCCATTCACTTTCAGCCTTTTCTGTTTCAACCTGCGAAGGGTGTGGGTGCAAAAACAAAGCCCAGATGAGTTAGAACTTAATCATCATCCTCTACAACTGATACAGGTATCCCTGCAAACACAATTGCATGTAATCAACCCATTGCTCAAACTGAGAATTGAATACTGTGTTTTGCTTCACAAAATTTATTCACAGTAATCAAACATGATGGTTTCATTAAAAGAAACCAGCAGTGCAATGAAAGCAAGACTGAAGCATAGAAATGGGACTTCTTTTTAGCAACTCTATTATCTGCTAGAGAAGCAGGGTAAGCTACAGAGCCCACTTGCCCTGGCAGGTGAGTGAGGTGATAAAGAGGCTTCCAAGTTGTATTATTGTTTGTTGCCAGTAATCAGAAAATGATTTTTAAAAGAAGAAGCTGAATAGGTCTTCTTTTCTTTTCTTTTCTTTTTTGGAAAGGATTTTCACCTCATATGCTAATAGTTCCAGCAGAAACACATCTTTGCAAAAATATTACAAATTAAAGCTAAAGGTTGCATATTAGCTAGCTGAAGATAATTTGCTGAAATCAATTGTGCTTTACAGATTGAGCCCATGCTGTTAAAAGGAAGCTTAGTGGTGCTTATTCCCAGTGACAGCCAATGTGGTGTAATGGTTTGAGTGCTGGACTACAACTCTGGAGGCCAGGATTCGATTCCAAGCTCAGCCATGAAGCCCACTGGGTGAACTTGGGCAACACATGCTCTCAGCCTCAGGGGAAGATACCTCTGAACAAATCTTGCTAATAAAGCCCCATGATAGGTTCGCTGTAAGTCAGAAACAATTTGAAGGCACACAACAATCCACAAGATTGCAATTATGTCACATAAACAAATGAGATATTATAGTTTGCATGTTTGTGTTGGATGTCCTGTATTTTATAATAAAGTTTTTATGATAGAATAGAAAAGCAGGACATAGCTATATCTATGTATTTGGGGCATGATGACTATAGATTCTCCTGCAATTGAAAATATACCTCTACTCCTCTGACAAGGATTATTCCCCTGAAATCAGCACAGCTAAATTTGACTATGCAGTGCTAGCACGGTCCCACAGTTAATTGCACAAGTTTGGTGAGCAACTCATAGAATCACCGAGCTATTGACCATGGTGATTGGAAAATTCTGAGAACCATAGTCTAAAGAGTAACATTTCAGCACTTTGAGTACTACAAAGCTTCTGAAGTTGTGATATAATGGTGTGAGTGAGCATGGTATTCTTCTCCCACTATGGCTTCACTGATCTGAGGTGCATTTCCTTATACCTGGATTTAAGTGGTTTAAAAGCAAGTTATCCAATAGGTTTAGGTGGGCTGTGTGATCCTGGCCTGAAAAGCCTTTCTGGTGGACAATGGAACACAGGCACAACCCAATTGAGCACTTGTCTTCTCTGAAGTTACTTCCATGGAAGTCAGTAAGGTTGACTCATTGTCAAATGTTCATAGGACTACAGCCACAGAGATTTGGGCAGACAAGTCAGGAGCACTAATCATGCTTCCCCAGAGAGGTTGGGAGAAGTGACTTTTGCTAGGGACTACAACTGGCTGGGTAATTCTGAGGCAGAGTCAGCAAGGCAAAGGGTGCTCAACAATGGCTCCTTTTCAACTTGGAAAGA